TGCAGGCAAGTCTGTGGAGGGGAAAGGGTGTGGGGAGGGGGGCAGATTGAGGCCCCCACGGTGAGGGAGGGAGCAGGGTGGGGGCTGGGGCACGTCAGTGAATGGGACCCCAGGGCCAGGGCAAGGAGCAGGATGAAGCCATGGGTGATTTGTCCAGGGGATCAGCATCCTGGCACTTAAAAATGGTGGCAGGGGTGCTTGAACTCATTTGATAAGCTTTAGTTCTAGTTCAAGCACTGCCACCACCATTTCTAAGTGCCAGGTCACTTTTAGGAGGGGAGCCAAGTGAGGTGAGGGCAGAGGCAGGCTGCCTGCTGTGGGCTCAGGGCTCTCTGCCCTGCTGCCTTGGCTCTGGGAGCCATGTACTGGCCCCATGTCCCCTGCCCACCCTGCGGCAGTGAACTGCGCCTCCCACTACAGGACGGGCAGGGGAAGTGCTGCTAGCGCACAGCTCCCAGGGCAAAGGCAGCAGGGCAGAGAGCCCTGACCCCACAGCAGGCAGCCTGCATCTGCTCTTGCCCAGCTTGGCTCTTCTCTCAAAAGCATCCCGGTGCTTAAAAATGGTGGCGGCAGCACTTGAACTAAAGCTTGTTCAATGAGCTTTTAGTTCAAGCACCCTCACTGCCCTTTTTAAGCACCGGGATGCTGATCCTGTGGATGAGCCGTCCATGGCTCTGTCCTACTCCTGGCCTCAGGCTCTCAGCCCCTGCCACTCACCCACTCCCTCCACAGACTTACCTGCAGGACGCAGCTCTCCATGCTGCCCGGAGAGCTGCCCAGCTGCGTTCCTGTAAATCAGCTATTGGTATCAGCCAAGAAAATCTTTCTTCGGCACACCTCTACTTTTTTGCTTTTTAAACGCCCTCACAAGACTTCTGTCCTTCCCTTTTAAACTGCAGCCTCAGGACTTGGCACACAGAAGGTGACTTTCACTTGTGTGAAGTTTAGCATCTGGCAAACAATACTGGATTGTTGTCCTTGAGGGAATGGTTCTGTCCCTGAACAGGCATATAATGGCATGTCCTTTCTTTTCCCTAAAAAGGCAATGTCTTGGGGGTCAGATGGGGTTCAGTATCCTTGTCCTTTTCAGTTTAAGGTGTCTCTGCTGGGACTGCCAACAAGGGAGCTGTTGAGTACCTGCTGCGACTGGCAATGCTCAGTGTTGACATCTCATGATATCCTTGTGCATCACTTGATTTTGGGGGGTTTTTTGCTTAAATCTCCAGCTCCTGGAATGCAGTGATTTCCTCCTCACAGTTTTTCAGTTTCTTGCTGTTTGCCAGAAGAGCTACCTAATTGTCCTCTGGTGTCGGTAACTTTTTATAAGGCAGGACTCTGGGTGTATGGCTCAGTGCCCTGTCTGGAGGGCCAGCTTTTCACCTGGTCACAAGTGTCACAGATTGACATGGCAGCAGCTCCCTTCACCAGTTTAAATATGATATGGTCATAAAAAAAAACAACTGCCTGCTCTGCATCTCACATGTTATTTTCATTTTTAATTGATAAGCTTGAAAACTGGAATCCACCAAAGGCAAAGACAGACCTCTAAATGCCTTTTGAAAGCATGTGCCCCAGAAAAAAATAAGAAGGAATTAAAAATGGAATGAACGTATAACAGATACCAAGGTCTGGTTACTCTTCCTTTCCAGGTAGAGGTAGCCAGGAAAGGAGATAGGATATCTGAGGCAGGTTGAGAATGAGGGAACAGACTGTCCATCGTGGCAAGTGTTTCATTGGGTACTTGGAGGAACGCAAAAATGTGGCGACTGAAAGAATCCCTCCAGTGACCAGTACTTGTGGGCCTTGACGACCTAGAGGACATGCAAAGAATGGCACAGAAATGGGCAGGGCCATTACAGCCTGGTTCTTGCAACATTCAGCTGCCGGAAAGATTCAGATTGAGAACTTTTTAGTCATAGGGCAGAGGAAAAGTTTCAGGACAAGCCCCGAGTCTCTTCCGTAGGCTGAGGAGAGAGAGAGAGAACCACAGGCAACCCAAAATAATAAAAACGTCAGGGTCTGGGGGATTTAGCTTGTGATTTCTGAGCATTTAGGGGTGCCTGCCCTGCATCTGTCTGCTGTGTAATAAGCTGGAATCAAAGTGGCAACTTGAGGAAACCTCCAGTCTCAGTTTGATGGCACAGAAAGACGTGGGCAGTTGTGAAACCATCATAAAGTGCAGCTCCCCTTCTTGCCAGCTGCTGGGAGAGACTATCCAGGCAGTGCGGTTTCACCAAAGGAAAACCTGGACAAGCAGTGAGGAACCAGCATGCCCAAGGGGCAGTTCAGGCAGCAGGGCGGCTGGAGCTGCCCGGCAAGGAGATGTGTGGTCCCTCGAGGATGCTTAGACCTCGTCTCCTATCCAGAGGGAGGGGACTCGTTGTCCAGAGCAGCTCTGTCATCCGTCCAAGAGTGCGCTGTCCCCATTTTTTTGTAGCCCTGCAACCTCACCGAGGAGGCAGCCCTTATTTTACGGGGAGGGGTGTTGCCCAGGACGGCTGCAGACACTCGGCGAAGGAGGGGCAGGGAAAACCCGAGAGCCCTGCCCATGGGGTGGCTCCCGGGCCCGTCGGCCACCACCGCTGCCCTTCGCCTCCTTGCAGCGCCCGGGGCGGTGCGGGAGGGCGGGCAGGTCCGC